GGCTCGGCCATGAGCCGAGCCACCCCAAGGTGGCTAGGCACAGTGTCGGCCACCCCGAGGTGGCCGACAGTGGCCCGAGGTGGCCGACAGTGGCCAGAGGTGGCCGACAATTCTCTTTTTGCAGCCACTGTCCTGAGAGCCTATAAATAGGCCTAGAGATGTTCATTTTCGAGGGTCGAACTTTCAAGAGCCGAAACTCTGCCGGATTGAAGAGTGAACTCGGAGCTTGAAGACCAGAAGACTTGCACCATTCAGATCTGATCCTCGGCGACCATCCACGTCAGAAAAGGCAGGATCTCGAGAGGAAGAAAGAACAGATCTGAGATCTACACGAGGCTACACTCCAGATCTAAGCTTGGTCTTAGATCTCGAGATCCGAGCGATTATTCCCTTGGTGGATTAATCCCTCCCGGCTATTATTCCCTTCGTGGAATAATACCCGCATAATCGTGTAGATCCGACCGGATCTAGATCGCGCGGTGGTCCACGGATTAACCCCGGCGCAGGCAAAGAACCCACCAAAGCGAGCGACCGCAAAACAGGAGCTCGTGATTTGTTCACAGAAGGAAAGTTGTAATTTTTTCTTTATTTTCTTTGATTTAGTTGTAACCGGATCTATAAAAGACCGGATCTTTTGTAACTCAAAAAGTTGTAACTCAAGATGACAATTATCTCATTAATGAAGAAAGCAACAGTTTTCCACGCGAACAAACGGGCTCTTCTGCAGGAATCTCCTCAGTTGTCTTTTCTTCAGGAGAATCATCAATTGGCTTTCCCTCTTCAATTCCCGTAGGAACCTCTTCTTCAGAAGGTTCTACGGTGGACAAGTCTTTAGGAGCTTCAACGGCTCCGGTCGCCTCCTGTTCACAAGATAGGTACTCTTCCATCCCGGGTAGACGAGTACTCGCAGAACCGCTCCGTGAACAATACAATTCCCGAATCTCGTTTATACATGAAGTATAAATGTCATATTCTGGAATCTGAGAAGCTTCGGCAAACCATTGGCATAAATCTATAACAGCAGAACAGCCGGGTGGTGAGTTGAGTAAAGTGAATTGCGCATGGGTTCCCCCGGCAGAGAAGAAGTACCATGCACGAGCTCCTTCATACAAATTCCCAATTTGAGCTAACGCCGGGTTAGGATTACCAACATAGAGTTGGTCATACCCAAACTGTCTGGCGAACCGTGAAGGCATGTAAGGCTCGATTATGCACTTTTCCCGTGAGCGATAGACCTGGTATCCCAACCTAATCATAAGAAGCCAGCTGAATGTACCCTCTTCCAAAGAAGACGAGCCTTCAAAAAGCAAATCCATGAAGAGCCTTCAAAAAGCAAATCCATGAAGCGAGCATCCTCCACATCAGCTCCGTCAAAGTTAGGAGCACAGCAAAAAACCCGGTAATTATCTTCCCGGGATAGAAACTGTCGAGCCCTGACTATATAAGAACTAGTCCACGTGGCCGACTCCAATCTCTGTACAAAGGGAATATAAACACCATCCCCTTCATGCACTCCCGTCATCAAGGAAGGGCAATGCAACACGAACCAGGCTACTAAATATGTATATGGCATTGGTACACGTGGTTGAGGAGCCTTCCCAGCTTTCTTCTTAGTAGCTTTGACTCCCGAAGTACTGAGAAGTTCTGAAGTCAATACCCTCAGGCCGTTCTGAGTACAACCAACCATAGCAGTAAGGAGGCTCACAGGTCTCCCGTGTGCTAGCAAAACAGCTGGGTACACAACTTCAGCTAATATTGATTCTATTGGTCTTGACGGTACCACACACCGCTTCAACCAAATCATGAAGAAGCCTGTAAGTAGAGCCGTGTTAGAGATGGGGACTGTGGCTTGGTAGTGGAAACTTTCAAGCTCGATACCAGCTTCGAAGTCATCCTCAGCATGCTCTGTTTTATAAGTAGCACCAGGAGCCTTAATCCGAGCCTTGGCGTCCTTAAGAGAAACAACTGCGATACGGGATACAGCTACATCTTTCCGGTTTAAGTTTTGAAAGAGGTAGTCTGCCCATGTAGTATGCATAATGCCCCCTCCACGCATCCCAAAGACTTGGGCACATATGTGGAAGTGACACATCAATTCTCAGAAAGTAGCATAAATTTTCAGGTGCGCCACCTTCAGTAAGGAAAGCTCCTCGGTGGTGGGGATAAACTCCTCGTAGGGCGTTTTTCCAAGCGACAGCCCCGACACTGCCTGCATCTCATGGAGAGCAAAACCTAATTCTCCAGCAGGCATGAAGAATGTGCAGCTGTCAGGGTTATATTTCTCCAACATAGCGAAGAAATTATAAAGACTCTACACGACTCCCCGTCGCGTAGCTAACACAGGAACTGTAAGACCCGATTGAGCGAGCGAGTCCTTAAGCTCCTCAAGAACAAAGTCAACCATGCGGGTCCACCAACCTCCTTCGCCAGAACAGACCCATCCAAGGGACCTGAACGTCTGGGTAGAGAATTCACCCTGAGTTGCAAGGAATTGGCGGATAAAAATGTTCGCTGGGCGTGGCATCTCCGGAACCAGCTCCTTCTTCTCAAACAAACCAGGTTTTAACCCCTTGAGTTGTTCCCCGATTTGTGTACGAGCTCGTCGACCAAATCCAAGCGACACGTTCTCCTTCTCCTTTACTATGTCGAAGGTCAAACCCCGACGGCAGCTCACATTCAAAAAGTAGGAGAGAGGGTACATCCTCTTCATGTTGGGGAGGAATAAGAAGCAATTATCAGCTCTCCACAGCAGCTTCGAATCTTCCACATATGTGAGATGGTCATCGACTGGTATGCGATCTCCAAATATGAATGCTGGTTTAGAAAACGGGGCATGACCAACAGGGGTCTCCAAGTCCAAGTCAGTTATCAAAATCCTGAGAGTAGAGCATTGAGGGAATTTAATCATTTCCGCTCTTTCCGAATTAGGAAAAGTACACAATGGAATCCTGCTCTGAAGACTGAATAATTCATTCGGGTCAGGTCCACCAATATATCCGAAATGGTGTTCTTGTGAAAGCGGCATGTTTGGGAGAAGCACTGCACAATCGAAAGCAGAAGTTAGCAGCTAGAAGCGAGCTATCGACATAAAGACAGAGTCTGAAACACAAAGGGGTAAAGCCTCGTGTCGAAACTTCCAACGCGAAGGTCGAGCCTCGCGTCAGAAGTCTCCAACGCGAGAGTCGAACCTTGTGTTGAACAAATTGAACGCAAGGGTCGAGACCCATAGGGTATCCCAACCCCGCGTTTTCATTGAACGAGTCATCTTCCTCGTTATCAAGAACCCATCTAGGGTTTTCAAAGAACTTGCCAAGGCAAGTTATTTCGGTCAGCACTCACCACGACTGGGAGGCCCCTGCGGCGGCGATGTCGACGGCAAGGTTCCCGCATGGACAAGAACACCACCGGCGTTTTCAGTCGACGGCATGTCGGAAGTCGCTCCAGCGACCTTCTTGGAGTTCGAACCCGTCCTCCGAGGCGCCATGGATGCAGTCGATCGGAGGAAACTCCTTTGAACAAGGGAGACGAAGCTCGTCGGAGATCTCGCCGTAATCAAACGAGAGTTCTCATTCTTGGAAATAGCCGAAAGTTTTGAAAGTCAAGTAACTTTTGATGTGACCATTCAGGTCTATTTATAATAGCCGTCAAGCTGTTAAGATGGCACGGGATTCTAGGAGTGAATCCCAACCATCTTCAAAACACGAAGCTCACTATCGCATTCAACTTCCCAAGGGCAAAGCTCAGGCTAGCACCACGAAGGCCCGAACCTCGCGTTTCAAACCTCAAACGCGAAGGTCACCTCAGCGTTGCAATTCTTCTAAATAAAAGAATTCACACTTGTGTTTTCAAACACGACACTTTTTCCTCAAAGTCATGAGCCCTCTCAACAGAGTGTTAGTCAAAACCTCTGTATCTCCTCAGCAGAATCTAAATTCTCATTGGGTTAATACTACACCCCAGAATCCACTTATCAATTCTCGTTAATAGAATGATAAGTCTCCAAATCATTGTCAATTTATTAGCTCTCCTCAACAGAGCAATAAATAACCTGTTTTTAGTAGGATAACAAAATCCCTCAAAATCTTGTTCAAATCACAAGTATCACAATTCATCGTCCCGATGATAAAACACTTAGCAGTTCTCCCCAGTGAGACGCTATAATAATCTTTCCCCACAGTTGTTACGTTAAAATTACACCTCTGACAAAATCAACTTATCGATTCTCGTCAATAGAACGATAAGTCTTTAAAATTGCCCAGACCGCAATAATTCCCCTGCCAAGTTGAGACTATACCTCTGGCACTTATCGATTTCTTTCAGTGTTCAAAGCAAGAAATAACACAGGAAGAATTCTACTAGTCAATCCCATTATGGGAATATTCATCCTCAGCAGTTTAAAACTTTCTAGAGTTATCTTAAAATGATAATAAAGAGAGTTTTCTGCACCAGAACCATTGTGGAGATCTATTCTAAGTCAGGAATACATCTTAGGCATTTCTCATGACTTGTGTTTAAAATCAAAACATAATAAATGCAAGGAACAATGAGAAGTCAATATCACTTTTTATTCAGAAACCAAAAAGAATTGATACAAAGCTGTTCTTAAGCAAAAGAATAGTACAAGTTCAAGTCAAAAGAAGCAAGTTGAGCCTTGGCATCAGAGAGCTTCTCCTCATGATGGGCTCGCACAACGGCTTCAGCTTTTCTCCGCAGCTTATCCTCACTGGGTGCCACTTCAGCGGCTGCCTCCTTCTTCGCTCTTTCAAGAGCCTGAGCTTCCTTACGGTAGTTCAAAAGAGTGTCGGCGTTCTTGGCCCCAAGGGTGTTAACAACGACTTCTTCGCGAGAAAGCTCGGCCTTCAACCTTAACACCTCCGCCTCAGCTTCGACAAGTTTCGTGCAAATGAGGTCCAAAGAAGCAGTTGAGAGTTCCAGTTCTTTTTGTCTCAGATCGCTCTGTTCCCGCAACTGCGTAACTTGAAGCTCTATTTCAGCCATGCCTCGCTCAATTGCCTCACGGCGAGTCACTTCCTCAACCTGGAAGTCAGCAAAAGTAGACACGATCTGTGTCTAAATGTCTTCATGGCTGAGGGCTTCTAAATGTTTGAGCCGGGCTTCTAAGTGGGAAATGGCTTCCGAACAACGTTCAAAGCAATGAGCGTTGCCCACACTTTTGACCCTATTTAAGCCTGCTTCTAAAAGGGACTTAAAGGAGTCAAAGCGGCCTCGACCAGCTGTGACAACCTTAATCACCTTCCGCACGAGACTGTTTAAGTAGCTCAAGGACATATGGAGGAAGTCAGGAGCGTCCGTTGGACTAGAAAAAGCAATGGAAGACGACTCTACGACCCCAGAAGTGGACGCGCCGAAATATGGATTGACAAGTGATTTGGGTGTAGAAGTCGCAGAGGCAACTGAAACATTCAATTGCAAAGGGCTTGAAGTCAAAGCCATCATTGTCCTCGCCGGAGATTCGCTTGGACCGACCTCTGTGGGCGCAAGCGAGATCTTCATCAATGTTGTAGATGAAGTAGTTACGGTGGATGAGTCAGGAAGGGGTTGCTCTTGCGTAGAAGCTGGCACCTGCACGAGCTGTTGTTCCGGTGGAGGAGTTGCGGTAGTAGTTTCAGGCAGCACTACAGGTTCTTGCCCCGAAGCAGTAGCAGTAGTGGTCCCTGGAGTAGGGGAACCTGCACGAAAAAATGGTCGGAACACGGAGAAAGCATGTGGAAGAAGTCGAAACAAACCAAGCTTACCGGTAAGATAGAAAGGAGTATAACCATATGCTTTATCGGATGGGACCTTGGGAGCGTCATCATCAAAAGTGGTGACGTCATCTATGGAATCATGCTCTTCGTCATCTTCACCACCACCAGACTTGCCAGCATCAGCATCCTCATCGTCTCTATCTCCGTCAGCTACATCACCAGTTGGGGAGTCGTCATAATCAACTCGCTCCTCATCATCCTGAGCCGCGGAAGGTTCCGGAAGATCTGTTCCAGTAGCTGGTTTATTCATGAGTCCCGTTGTAGGACTAGAAATTAAATCACCAGCTTGGGACATTAAGGCCGAAGGAGAAGGGAATGGATTCTCTTCAAGACCCCCTGATTCTAATGCAGGAGACCTAGGAAGATCCATCACCGGAGCAGACTCTGCATCTGCAGCCTTTAATTCATCTTCTTCGTCCTCGGGAGGATGATAAGAAGAAACTTCGCCCGACAGAGCTTGGCCATGAGAACGAAGCCCCGCTCTATGTGGCAGGGCAGCCACAGATGATTCCTGTGGTTCATCATCTATAGCAGCTTTGATGGCCTCAGCCATGAACTTGGATTTTTGTTGGCCTTTGGGGGGAGAATCCACCAGCAGTTTTCGACGGATCTGCTTATCATACTGGCTGACTTTATCTGCAGAGAGTTTTCTTTTCCCCACTGCTCTTGTCAAGGGAGGATCAACCACTCGTTACTCTTCCCCTGGAGCAGGCTCAGCTGTCTGTTCCTCTTCCTGTCCAGCAGATTGATTCTCGATGGACAGAAACTCATCGATCCCTTTCAAGCGGGATGTCTTGGACCCCTTCCTTAAATTATACATATGCCTAATGTCTTTCAGGCAAGATGTATTCAAGTTGTAGTTAGGAGTCTGAGAAGCGGCGTAATACCAATTACAGAAGCTGATGGAAGTATAGGAGTTAGCAGTCTTGTGGGGAAGCTTGAAGACGGCTTTGGTACAGCCTGCTACAGAATAATACCAGGCCCTGGCTCCTTCATATAAATTGCCTATGACTGAAAGTTGAGGACGAGGGTTCCCGACGTACAACTGATCATACCCAAATTGGCGAGCGAACCTATAGGGTTGGTAAGGCTCGATGAAACAGTTGACGCCTTGCCGAAAGATCAGATAGCCTGGCCTGATGGATAGAAGCCAGTGGAAAACACCCCCGCTCAGCTGAGTGAATCCATTAGGACCTGCCGTATCCTGATATTCTGCTCCATAAACACCGCCCTCGAAATCAGGAAAACAACGGTAGATATGGAAGTTGGTGTCTCGCGCAAGGATTTGACGAATTCTAACCATGTAACCCCCCACCCATTTCGCAGATTCTAGTCGCTGCACAAATGGGATGAATGAGTCTTCAGGGGGAGAGGCTGCACTCATCAAAGGAGGACAGTGAAGTACGTACCAAGCCATCAAGTAGGCATATGGCATTGGTACCCTGAGATTGGGAGTTTTGAAAGTCTTGTGACCCTCAGACTCCACCTCTGTAACACCAACAAAGTCAGAGGCCAACTCCCGCAGTCCATACTATAAGCAACCCACCATGGCGCTGAGGAGGCTCACAGGTCTCCCGTGTGCCAAGAGAACAGCCGGGTAGACCACCTCAATAGCAAGGGCATCGATCGGCCTGGTAGGAACGACGCAACGCTTGAGCCACAGCATCAAGAATCCAGCCAGCAACGCCGCGTCGGAAATTGGAATCAGAGCTTGATAATGAAAGCTCTCAAACTCTGTGTGAGCCGGGAAAACATCTTCCTTGGCCTCGTTAGTGTAATGGGAGGTAGCATCATCGACAGGCAATCGGATCACAGAGCCTCCTTTAATGGTCAAGTTCCGGAATAAATATTCTGCCCAAGACACTTGTTTGATGCCGCTTCCGCGAGCCCCCGTCAGCTACATGCAGATATGAAAATAGCACATCACTTACCAGAGAGTGGCGTAAATTTCTGGGCTGGTCTTCTTCAGAAGTTTGAGTTCCGCAGATCCCAGAACAAATTCTTCGTATGGTAAATCCCCGAGAATAAGACCTGAGACTTCGTGCATCTCGTGAAGAGCGAAGCCTAGCTCCCCCACAGGGGTGAAGAAAGTACAAGTCTCGGGACTATACTTCTCCAATATAGAGAAGAAGTGAAAGTGGCTCTGAATAATCCCAAACTTAGTAGCCCGCACTGGAACCAGTAATCCAGCTTGGGTAAGAGGGGTTTCCAATTCATCCAAAACGAACTTGGTCATTTGGGCCCACCACCCTGTCACTAGAGAATGAACCCAACCAGGAGCTCTAAATCCTTGTGGGGGAATTCTCCTTTCTTTTCCAAAAATCTCTTAACAAAGGTCTTCGTCGGGCTGGGTGCTTCGCCAAGAGGATACTCCTTAGCAAATAAACTCGGTCACAAAGCTGTCACCTGCCGGTTATAACCAACTGTGCGGACCCCGTGAAAAGTCAAAGTCCCGAGAGCAACCCCATCTTGATCCTTAACCAGGGGCCAATCCATATGCCTTGGGACAGAAGCACACTGGAAATAAGATATGGGGAACATCCTCTCCATATTGGGCAAGAAAAGGTTGCGGTCCCCAACTTTCCGTAACCACTTATAGTCCCCATCATAAGCAGTGCTTGCGTCGAAGTCAACAAAGTCTCCGAAAAGATATCCAGGTTTGACTATTGGCTTACGGCTTGGGCTTTCAAGTCGAGCGTCCGTAACCAATGTCCTAAGAGTGTCGGAAGAAGCTTGGGTAATTATTTCTACGCGACTCTTCTCCCTAATTCGGAAAACGGGGAGTTCTTAGCGTGAGCTGAAGGCAATGTTCATGTCCGCACCACCTTCATGCCCAAAATGGTGGCGAAAAAGAAGAGGCTCGCTGGTATGACGCACTGCAAAAAGAAGAAAAAAGTTAGACAACTCAATCAAAGCTCAGACGCGAAGGTCGAACCTCTCGTCAGAAAAGCTCAGACGCGAAGGTTGAACCTCGCGTCAGAAGAACTCAGACGCGAAGGTCGAACCTCGCGTCAGAAAAGCTCAGACGCGAAGGTCGAACCTCGCGTCAGAAGATCTCAGACGCGAAGGTTAAACCTCGCGTCAGAAAGTTCAGACGCGTAGGTCGACCCTCGCGTCGAGAATCTGAAACGCGTAGGTCAAACCCCTCGTCAAAAATACCAAACAACGGAGTCCAGCCCCGCATTATTGAAACGAGTTTTCTCGTTGATCTCAAGATCAGAACTTGCCGAAGCAAGTTTAATGGCCACGATGGTCATACTCACCACCAATCAAAGGAAGCTGGGGCGGCACGTTCGCCTGAGCAGCAGCGCCACCGGCCGGCGCTGACGGTGCCGATCCTTGAGCCGCAGCGGCATCAGATTTGGAAGCATTCTTGGGTGCCATGAGATCTCATCGGAGGAGATGAACAGAGTTCGCCAGAGATGAGAACGAAATTTTTTCGTTAAAGTTTCAAGAAGAGTCGAATGACTCTTGATTTGACCCCTAGCGGTCTATTTATAGACAGCTATGAGCTGTCAAATCGTAACGGATGGGATTCGAGGCCATCAGCCCGCCCAAACTCGACCCTCGCGTGCGAGTTGTTTGAGCTTCCAAACGCGATGCTCACCTACGCGTTCAACTTCTCCAACTCGAGGCTCACCCACGCGTTCCAATCCTCAAAGGCAGAAATTATCTCTGTGTTTGGACCGCTATGATAGCAGCTTCTTGACTACCAAGGCTACGACACAGCCCCAGATGAATAAAAGAAGAGCTAACAGCAATCGTCAAGGCGACCAAAGCCGGGAAGAAACAAACGACTACACGGGGGAGTCTATTGGAGGAGTACAGAGAGATTACAACCAACAAACGGTGAAATCATCTGGCTCGATCAGACGGAGGGAGCAATCAATCCCCTAAATTTTGGGATCCAAAGTATTCTGAAAATTCGTCCCAGTCAACCGCGAACTTTCAAAAACTTTGGAGGGGGTTCTGTAGGCTGTCTAAAAATCATAATGGATAGCTGATCCCTATCAAGCTCCGACAATGGAAGTCACAATCAGACGACTTTATAATCACCGCATCTGTAACTCCACAATCGCCACAAACACGACCTCATTTCTGAGATGATTGATCTTGATGGCTGCGACAACGGCACGACTAATATTATATTAGCAATTATTGGAGATGCTGATGAGCAGTGTAATGATTTTAGAAATGAAAGGTTGGACTTAGTTGGTGAGTTACTTGGTAGAGAGCTGTGGGCAAATATTCATCTTCAAAACACTATGGATGTTGATTCTCGTCAAGCTCTCACAATGAAAGCTACAATCAAATAGCTTTCGGGTCGACAATCGAAAGCGGCAAATAGAGGACTTTTCACATAGATCGAGAAGAGTTATAAGTCAACGACACTTGCGACAACTGATGAAAACTCTATTCAGCAGTCTTCGCAATATACGATGAAAGTTACAATCTGATGACTTTCATACCCCACAATAGCTAAAGCCAGGATTACTGAACAATGGTCCTTGCAACGCACCATAGAAGAAGCTACAAGTCAAATAGTTCTTTCTAAAACGCGGATGTCATCCCCGCGTTACAACTCTAGAAGTGTAGGCAACCCCCGCGTTTCCAAAGCCACAGGCCAAACGTGTGCGACCCTCGCGTTCGTAGGGGTCCAACCAACACCGACCCCCGCGTTTCCAAGCAGGCAACAAGCCAAAACGCGAGCGACCCTCGCGTTCAATGGTGTTCAGCTAACATCCAACCTCGCGTCTCAATTCTAAGAGGCGAAGTTGGGTGCTAAACGCCAGATTGGGCGTTTGACTCGTTCAAACATGAGTCGAACGGTTTCAAAACCGTTTATCCCACGTTCTGAGGGATTTTCGCCCACGTAGGAGCGGATATAGGGGTCAGTTACAACCTCCTATCCCCTATAAAAGCTCAACGAACCCAACAGAGCAGTGGTTGGATTTTTGGCATCTGAACCACACAGGTTGGATCAAAACCGTACAGGTTGGAGATTCGGCAGCAACGTAATCCTTGGAGATAGGATTTTCGAATCACACTCAGAAGATCAAATCTGGGAGGATTCTTCTACAACAGAATAACAGCTTGATCATTAACCGAATTTTCGGTTCTAACAACTCTATTCACAGAGTTCAAACTCGTTCAGAGTTCTTAAACTCATTCAGAGTTATTTATCAAACTTTCCACAGAAGTTCATCGTTCCCACGAGATAAGAGACGATCGGATCGTCAACGGAGAGCAAATTCGACGCGAGCAATCGAAGGAGGCATTCCATCGCTACCGAGAAGAACCCAGTTTTAAACAAAGGAGAGAACCAAATTCGTTTCTCTTCTCTTTTGTAATCGAGTTGTAATCAGAATCAAAGAAATACAAATCAATTTTCTTTATTCTTTTCATTGCAATTTTTCCCTGCATACATGTATCCCATTTTGTACACCGTGTTTATGCAATCTTGAATCCTGCACAAGCTATCCTACACTAGTCTAGTCTTGATAGAAGACTACAATCTCGTACTCACCCTTTGTCTTTGGACTCTAGACTATA